CCCCCCCCCCCCCCCCCCCCCCCCCCCCGATCTTCCATGTGCTGTGTTCAGCCTCCGGAGGTCACATTCCTGTTTCCAGCCGTGCAAGAGGGCTCTTTCCGAGGAGATCCGGCTGTCCACAGCAGTCCACACCAAGCCTTGACTCTGACAAGAGAACCCCCCGCCCCCCCAATGGTCTAACCGCTAAGGCATGCAAAACATAAGAGTACGCCCCCCCCTCCCGCCCCCGATCTTGCACCATTTATATCTGTTTCCAGCCGTGCAAGAGGGCTCCTTCCGACAAGCTCCGGCCACGGTGCAAGCCCTGGCTCGCTTCAGGCCGGAACCGAAGGCGGACCCGGTGGACGTAGCACGGGAGATGGACATTCTCGTGCCCGGGGCCGTCGCGAACGCCATCCGCATGGACGACCACAAGGGCCGCGGCGGATCCGCGGTGCTCCAGGTGTGCGGCGGGTGTTGTGTCCGTTCGGAATGCGGCGGGATATTTTTGGTGTTCGGAATGCGGCGGGATGGGGTGTGTTGTCCGTGTGGGGTGCCGCGGGATACCATGCCATATTTTTTTTATGCGGAATGCGGCGGGATTTGGTTTTTGTGTTGAGGGTGCGGCGGAATATGTTTGTGTGCGGGTTGGGACGGGACAATATAGGACATGTAGGAGGTTGTTTATCGGGAATCAGCCATCTGTTGGGATTGTTTGTGTGTCGTCCAGCGGAATACTTGGCTGGTCGGAATGCGGCGGGATATGGTTTATATATGTGTGGCACTATCATATGGACTGGCGCCGTAGAGTAGGACGAAAAAACAAAACAAAACAAAACCGGAATTCTGTCTTCATATGAGAGTTTTTTTTCGTGCGGAATATGGCGACCAGCGCGTGCATGTGGCATTGGACTCTCCTGTTCCCCCTCGCGTGGTGCGTGATGTAACCAGCCGCTGGCATTGTACTGTCTGCCGTCTCTTTTGCGTGCGCAGGAATCGCTGGAGCGGTTGATGAGGGACGCGCAGATGAACGGGATCAGGCAGATCCCCCGCGAGCCCGCGGCAAAGCCCCAGGCCACGCCGTCGCCCCCGAAAGAGGAAGGGAAGGAGGACTATCCCTACAGGTGTCTTGAATATGTTTTTTTTTTTTGTAGTTTCTCAGTGTTGGGCAGAGGTGAAAATCATATAATGTTAATTAGAACTCAAGAAAGGACAGCAATTGTGGGGGATGTTTTGGGTTTCAATTTCGTTGTTTGCTGGTTTTGAGTTTTGGTTGGGGGCAGGAGGACACATACTGTACCCGTACAACGGAAATAAGAAACGAGCCTCGGCCGAATTTTTTTTTCTTCAAAAATTGACGTTGTAGAGTGTTTTTTTTTTTTTTTTACCGCAGGCACATCCCGCTGTACACGGCGAACGTTCGGATTGGGCATCGCACGGGCCTGCACATGACCAACTTCGAGCTGCTCGAGGTGAGTGTGTTGCTGCTGCTCCTGCTGCTGCGGCTGCTGTTGTGTAGAGCGAATCGTAATGCGTACCATGTCCGAATGGAATGCGTACAGTGTCCCATGCGACAGGTTAGATAGAGTCAAGCGCTATGCCCTGCCGTGGCTGTCAGGTGCTATGCAGGTCGTTCTTGTCCGACCGCCTCGTCACGTGTTAGTGTTTCAAGTAGGAACTCCCCATTTTCGCAGCGACGACGGGAGTTTGGATAGCGTGGAGAAATACAACGATTTAGGTGGCTTGGGTCGACACGCTGAATAACCGGCTATTTTGTGGCCCTTGCTGGCTCGTCGTGCTCGGCTGTATCGTCCGATGCTTTGCTGCTGCTGATGATAATGACGATGATGCTCATGCTACAGCTGCTGCTGATGATGATAGTGCTGACGATGCATACATTGCTGCTGTTGTTACGCAGGCTCTCTGATGCTACTGCGGATGGCAGTGATGATCATGCTCATGCTGCTGCCGTTTTCGATGATCATGCCCATGCTACTGCTGTTGCTGCTGATGACGATGGCACTGATAACGACGCTCATGCTGCTGCTCCTGCTGCTGTTGTTACGCAGGCTCTCAAGAAGGGCACGAAGCTGCTGAAGGTGACGAAGGGCCATTTCAGCAAGAGGAGGACCGTGGTGAAGTGGGTCAGCGTTAGCGACGACCTGACCAAGGTGATGGCTATGCTATCATGAGGCGCTAAAGATACACCTTTTCTACCATTTACTGTAGCACAAATGGCGCGCTTGCGGTGTACTTGACGTCCTGGGATAGACGATACACGAGGGTCTTGGGGACCATGTTGCTGTAAAAGGGGAACTACGTCACATCAGTAGAGTCGTGCGTGATGAAAGAACGACCTTTGAAACAAGTTGCGGGCGTCGACTACGTTCTGCTGAAGCGATGGAGGTGTTGGGATAATGTCTATGGCGTTGCTGTAGAAGATGAATTCGTCACATTTGAGCTGTACATGGGTGGCGAAAGTCTTTGGAATATGTAATATGTTGGGATGAATACACATAGAAGGCAGCGGACTGATTGCGGTCTACGGGCTGTGGGGACATATGTCCGAACGTCACTCTGGACGAGGACTGTGCTTTGCATGGGCTTTAGCGTGAGAGCAGTGAAGGACATGTGACCGGTTCTCTCTACAGAACACGCGGCAGTGAAATTGGGATTCTCTTTTTTTTTGTCCCGTTCCCATTCTTGCCCTACTTTCTTCCATACGGTATATGCATAAATTCCGCCCTCCTCTTTCCCAATCATGGTGTTTATTTATGTCCTTCCCAAACCAAAATGAAAACAATAAAACGCCTCCCTAAAACCACAAAAAAATCACTCCACGCTTACATTAGAGTTGGATAAGATAATTTATGGGCGCCCATTCATTCCTTTTGTTTTAGACTCGCGCATTTTCTGTCGGACTCCTGTATCTCGTTCGCAACCTCATTTCCCACTTCGAGCCTTTCTCTGAACCCCCCCCCCCCCCCCCGTTCTTATCACGGGGGTCCCTCTCTTTGGTGCGTAGCTGAGTTGGTCGAACGACCTCAAGAACTCTTCGGGCGCGAAGTCGATGGACCTGAGGGCCACGGGCAGTAACGCCATCACGGGCATAACGGTCGGACTGGAAACCCCGATTCTCATCAAGGAGTGGGAGGTGAGAGCGAAAGGCTTTTTGATGCTCATGTACTTCGGTGGAAAAAAAAGCTCTTAGAATCAGTTTTTTTGCACGTGGATTTTTTTTTTATGTGCATACGTCAGAGTATATATACCGTGTAAGGTTGCGAGTCAGCGCACAGGGAGGGGTGCGAGCGATTTTCAAAGCGTAATTTCTCCACAACCAGGAGGTTACTATGTACTGTCGAAGAGGGCGGTTTTGAAAATATCTCATCGAGAGCTTTTTTGACGAGTACCAGCTGGCGCTCGCACCCTCCTGGTTGTGGAGAAATTACGCTTTGAAAATCGACCGCACCCCTGTGCGCTGACTCGCAACCTTACGGTATACAACATATTTCGTCTCTTTTCATTCCCGCTGGGGATGGTCCGTGGCTTCGATACTTGTACATCACCGTGACTTCGCCACGTCCCGTACAAATGAACCCTTTTTCTTTTTCTTTGTCTTCATTTTTTATTGTTCGGGTCGTCCAGAGCTCCCCAGCGAAGAGCCGGCTTCCGTCGGAGTGGTGCTACTTCTCGCTACACACGCCCTCGAGGACCTACGACTTCGGCAGCGAGGTAGGAGCACTGACACTTGACCGATCACGGAACGAAAGGCCCTTCTCCACGTAGTGTGTCTACATGTACGGTTATAAGTTTAGGGTTAGTGTATCTTCAATCTAAACTAACTGTTGCGTTCTTGCCGCGCATACCCTCGAGGACGTACGACTTCGGGAGCGAGGTCAGGGCACTAGCGCTTGACCGATCACGGAACGTAAGGTCCTTCTCAACCCTAAACCTACCAGAATGTAGGGTCCTTCTCCACGAAATGTGTATCTACGTGTAGTAAGTTTAGGCTCAGCGTATCTTGAATCTTAACCGTTACGTTCGTGCCGCACATTCCCTCGAGGACTTACGACTTTAGCAGCGAGGCAAGCCGCGAGAAAAGGGCACACTTACTCGGCGGGGCGAAACTACTTTTCTATGTAGCCGAAAACGCAAGCCTTTTTCTCTTTTAGGATGTGGTCGAAACGCAGCAATAAGTTTCCTTGTTTTTCCGGCAGGGTGCGAGGCTGACACTGGCCGATATGTATCAAGCCAAACAGTTGCCCTCTTTTTTTTTTTCAGGATGCGAGTGTGCCACCGGTCGAAACGAAGCAAAACGGACCAGGTGTTTTTTTTTTCCAGGATGCGAGTTCCTCGCAAGTCGAAACGAAAACGGGCCGCGTTTTTTTTTTTTTCCCAGGATGCGAGTGTGGTGCTGCTTTGGTGCATCGGCCTCTCGGCGATCATCCCCGAGGCGGGAAGAAAGCCTCCGCTCTGTCAGGCGCAGAAGACTTTCGCGAGGAAGATCGACCACCGGGTGAGATACGGGGAGGGGGGGGGGGGAGGGGGTCAACAACAACGCCGGTTGATTGGCGCCGGTGAAATTGCTGGGCACAGACAGATTCGCCAAGCCTCCTGGTGTTCTTTGAAAAATTACAATTTCGGTCTCTGCTCAGTACCTTCTAGTATCCATACCGTTCTAACTGACGTGTTCCGTGTTCCGTGTTCCGTGATCACAGGCCAACTACTGCACAGTGCCCACAAAAATTGATCACACAAAACAAACGAGAAGTGCACCACACACTACAAACCGAAAATATGGTACTGGTTTGAGTTTCTCTTGTTGGCTGTTGGTCATTTTTCACAAGGGGTTGATCGGTGCCGTTTTTCGAATTGATACGCGGGTTGCGGTGAGATTGCTTCCCATCACCGTCAGCGCGTATGCTGCCTTCTGGTTCTTGCGCTGCTTTTCCCCGCTTGCCCTCCCCTTGCGCTTACGCTCGTTCTTGTTCGGATTTTCCGTGCTCGCTGATGCCCGCTTGCGCTGCTCCCTCGTGGCACGGTATTTCCGTGTGGTGTGCGGTACGGTATTTCCGCGTGAAGGCTACGGACGAGGAACCCGTCCCTCTGTGCCCCCTCCTGTGGCCGGTGGCAAGACAGGTGAGACAAGGCAAGGCGGCCTCTCTGTCTCGCGCAGCCAGCCCCTGTTGTGCTACATAGCCTTGGTGCGATTGTCCCAGCTTTACAGCAGGTGCTGATGTGATCTGTACTGTACTGTATGCACAAAGACACACGTTGTGTTTTTGTCAACCGCACTGAGACTGACGCCTTTTCATTGGTGAGCCAGGTTGTAGCGCGGTCGATGCTAGGTCACCAATTGACAGTCTGCGCTACATATCCCGAAAAAAGCACTACTACTTGTAGTCAAATCTTGTCCGGAATTGCCTACCATGGTACTTCATTTCCAATAATAAATGTGATGTTTAACACACACACTCCGTCGTTCCCCGTTGCACCCTATCTCATCAGGTCGCTTCCGCGGCGAACGACCTGGGCATCAACGACCCGTGCTACCGCCATCAGTGGTGGTCCGCCGTGGAGCTTGTCGAGTCCCCCCTCCCGGACGGGTTCGGCAGGTACAGCGAGAGGGTCGTCGACCTTAAATTTAAATTGAAACCAACGCAACAAAAGCCTATATCGCCTAACCTCGCTTCGTCCGTTTGTTAGTTTGCTTGAAAGAAAGAAAGAAAGAAAGAAACAAAGAAAGAAAGAATCTCTCCACATGGTGTGGACGGAAATAATGTGGACGGATCCTCCCCCGCCCCCCCCCCACCCCCCGCACTGAACAAAATGATTGTAACAGGGTCGTACGCGAAGACGGGACGCTGGCCTACCGCTACCCCAAGTCTTCGGAAACCCCGGGGAAAATCGGGACTCATCCCCTGCTCCAGGACTACATGGACAAGGTGAGCAAAAGGAAAGAAAATAGTGGGGAAGAAGGCGGTCACACGAGGGGAAGCGGACAAGAGCCCCAAAAATTCCTTATCGAGACGTTTCGTCAACCGTTTTTTTTGTTTTTTTTCGACACAATCTTGGTCGTGGAGCAGTCGAGCTTTCAAAATCGGGTCAAGGGGGGTGCCATATCCCGGCCTCTTACGGATAATAATCATTTCACCATTGCGACTTCACGCCAACAGCTTCGATTTGGGCTTTGCACATGGAGACATGAGTCATTTCTCATTCTCCAGGATAAGCTGCCACGTGTTCCAGCTCAAACCGCGAGCTGGCATTCGCCCGAGGACTGCGACACGTCTCTCTCTCCCTCGAAGAGGACGTCCGTCAAGGACAGTAGCCTCACGTGCAGGACATGTTGCCGCAAGGACTCGAGGGTTGGACGTTGGAGCGCTCGTGCCGTGCAAGCGTTCCAAGGTCCATTCCGTGAAGCCGTGCTACGGCGTGTCCTGCATGCGAGGCTATTTTCCTTGTCGGATGTCAACTTTTTTGGGAGAGAGAGACGAGACGCGTGTCGCAGGTCTGAGGGCGGCTGGCAGCATTGTATCCCGGAGAAGATGCGATGATGGGTGGTGTCTCCTTTCCTCTAAACCCTTCTCACGAACGAACGAAGCTGTGGGCGTGGTTAGTTGTGGTATCCAGCGCGGTCGGTCGATCATGTCATCGCCGTACCTCTTGGTTGTAGGATACGCGCGGACACACAAGTATGCTGAATATCGATGAGACACAGAACACCTTTAGCAAGTCCTGGTGCCATTTCTATGGTCTAGGAGAGACCACACAACTTGCACTAGGTTCTCTAGGAATCTGGTGCTGCGATTCCTTTCTCTCCCGACACTTGATTATTGGAAAATATTATTACTAAATCGAAAGTTTTTTTTGTTAAATGTGAAGACGACAGCCAACTGGAAGGAATAGATATTGTTGTTTACTTCGAGGTACCTGTATGTGTTTTTTAAGACACTAATTGATACCCGGGGCTGCAACACCGAACGCGGGTGATGACGACAGATCGACTACGATAGCAAGCTGTCGACCTCGCATCTCCGGAGATCTTCGAGGGACACCAGGCGTAGCTCGGGGGGGCAGGCCTTGGCCGCGTCGCACCCCATCAGGTGCTTCGTGTCGTGCTTCAGGGGGGACTTGACGGCCATCAGAAGGTGTGTGTGTTGCTATGTATTTCGTGTTTTTTTTTGTCTGTTTTTTTTTTTTTGTGCGTGTCTTGTGTGTCTTAAATTGTTGGCTTCGACCGCGCTACAGTCTGCGGCTGACCAATGGACAGACGTCAGTCTCAGTGCCTCTGAAAACATGCGCGTATGTGTGTGTTTTCTCGCCTCATTGTGCATCAGTCAAGCCCATCACGGCCGACAACTTTGTACCACAACTCTCGTCTGTTCGAGACCGAACAAGTTGTCATCTTGGAAGGGTCTAGATCAGCGGGGCTGGGCACAGCCCTCTGCTATGATGGTACAAAAATGTTGCAACTGGGTGAAGCTGGTCGCCGAATAGTGTAAACCAAGACGCCTGGCGTTTTTGTTTTGACAAACTAGGTTTGCGATGGAGGGGGGCGACGTGGATTGCCGTTACGAGGACGCATACGAGAGGCCCTGGACAGTGGCCATGGGAGGGCCGGACTTCTCATGGGCGGAGCCGGGCCTGGGAACCAACCCGCTCAACTACACCCTTGCCTTCTGCGACATCATCGGTGAGGGGTGCTCGCCTCTCTGCCCCTAACCCTCGCGATATGGCTGTGAGCAGCGTGGTGAACTGGCCTAACCTGCTGCGCTGCACTGCGTCTCTGGCCTTAAAACCTAGCCTTTTGGCTGTGAACTAGTAGCGTACTTGCGCTACGTCTTCGGTCTGGCGACATCGTGGGTGAGAGGGTTCTCTCGAAAAGCCTAACGCTGACAGCGTTAACCGTCTGGCTGTGAGCTAACCTGCTGCTGCAGTACCCGCCCTACCCCCAACAAGGCACTCAATTAAAGTAGTTCGCTGTTTACTATTTCGGTCTCGTCGAGGCCGTTGTATGTACTGCTCATGTGTGTGGTACGTACGCAGGCGCCTGTTGTAACATTGTTTTGGGTCTCCGTCCTGGCTGTTGTATCTGCCGTTTCTGTGTATGGTGCGTAAGGCGTGGAGACGGCGGCCGGCGTGGTGGCGACGCTGCTCGAGCTGGGCGCCGACGTGAACAGGGACGACGGGGACCCCGAGGTCCGGTACACTCCTCTGCACAGCGCCGTGGCCAACGAGGTAAATTTACCGGTCAACTTAGGGGTCTAGGGTTAGGTCCAGACAGAGTAAGCAGCCTTCGCAGCGTAGTTCGTTTCTGTTCCGTGTAACGTTGCGAGTCAGCGCACAGGGGTGCGAGCGATTTTCATAGCGTGATTTCTCCACAACCAGGAGGTTACTATGTACTGTCGAAGATGGCTGTTTAGGAAAAATCTTATCTAGAGCTTTCCTGACAAGTATCGGTTGGCGCTCGCACCCTCCTGGTTGTGGAGAAACTACGCTTTGATATATCGATCGCACCCCTTGTGCGCTGACTCGCAACCTTGCGGTAATCGGGTTGGATAAAGCATGCCATCAGGGAAGTCGTGTTAGGGATACGGTCTTCGTTCCCCCCTCCGTGTTTCATCTCTTCACAAACTTCACTCCTCACGAAGGTGGTCGGGTCCAGAAGTACTGGTGGTAGCGGTGGTGGTGGCGGTGGCAGTGGCTGTGTTGTCAGCGGTGCTGTTTGTGGTGGGGTGTCATGTTGTCGTTGTCGTTGTCGTTGTTGCTGTTAGTGTGTTGGTAGGATCGGGTCGGGAATGGGTTGAGGTTGCCCATGTCAAGCTGGAGGTTGGCCCTCTAGTCTCTACTCATGGGCGTGCAGAAACGGCTCCAGGTTACGAGCTCTTGCCAGCAACAACGGCTGCAGGTCACACGCTCTTGCCCTCCGTTCTCTCTCTCTATTTCTTCCTCTCGTCGCTCTCTGGTTGAGGTCATGCTCGCAGCAGCTGATTTGTCCGGCCCTGTGCTACAAAAAAAGCCATCATTGGTCTCACGTCTCTCCCCCCACCCCCATTCCCTTCAGGCCCCCGGCCTTGTGCGGACCGTTCTCCAGCACGGCGCTCGTGTCAACACCCCGCGGGGAGACCGGCGGATCCCCCTGCACACGGCCATGCGCCTGCCCCCCGGGCAAAAGAAGCTGGCCATCATAGCCACGCTCCTGGTGGTTGGCGCAGACATTGACCGCCCAGGTCAGAGAGAAGCATCTGCCGTTGCTTTGTTGGATTTGCTTTGGGTAGGGTTCTAGGTTGGCGCGATATTGGTTAGAGAGAGCCAACTGGCGGTGTCTTGTTGGTTTTTCTCTGGTTGTTGTTGTTGTTGTTGGCGCGGACATTGAATGCCCAGGTCAGAGAGACTCTGCTAGAACGCCCGCGTGCAGCGCGCGTTGCACGTGACTCGAAAAGAATTCCACCACCTCGACAACAACAGACCGGGCCCATGTTGCAAGTTGTTTTACAGTGGCCATGGCTGGCTTTCGGGCTGGCTTTAGCTGTCTCTGCATTTTCCGCGTGATGAATACATAGCCGAAGCTTTTCGTTTTTGATACACAGGTTGTGTTGTGTTGTCCCCGAATGCTGCTTGACCCCCCCTCCCCGCCCGCCCGCCCTCGCACCCCTTGTTTGCTCAGAGCCGTTCCAGGGCAACACCCCCCTGCACATGGCGTGCAAGATGGGCGACCTCCGCACGGTCGAACTGCTCCTCGAGGTACCATAAGCATGCGACTTCGTGATTCACGGTGTTATTTTTTGGTTTCGGAAAGGACGTACTCCATTAAAAAGCACCCGGAATAAGGCAGATACATGGTGTTCATTTTTTTTTTTTGGACATGACGTATAAAAAACGTGCAACCGGAATAAGGTAGATACCTCTCTGCATGCGAGGATGGCCTGTAGGCGAGCTGCGACGTGTCTACACCCCC